CTGAAGATCTTGGCCACCATCCTAGTGTAGGTGGCGCCGGAGTTTTTGAGTCCGAAGGCTATGACGAGGTAGCAAAAGATTCCCTCTGGGGTCATGAATGCCGTCTTCTCAGCATCATCTTCATGCATGGAGATCTGGTGGTACCCTCTGAAAGCGTCGAGGAACGACATCAACTCGCACCCCGCCGTCTCGTCCACCAGCTGATCAATGTTGGGGAGAGGGAACGGGTCCATGGGGCACGCCTTGTTCAGGTCAGTGTAATCAACACACATTCTGAACGTCGGCGGTTTCTGGGCGAGGACAACGTTGGCCAACCATGTCGGGTACTTCACCTCTTTAATGTGTTTGATTGAGAGGAGCATGACGACCTTCCCTTTGACGAAGTCCCGCCTGTCGGCGGACAAGTAGCGCTGCTTCTGCTTGACAGGCGCGGAGGCCGGATCGACGGTCAGCCGGTGAGTGATCACCTGGCGGCTGATGCCTGGCATATCGTCCGGGCCCCACGCGAAGACAACGGCGTATGACCGTAGGACGAGGAGGATGGCGTCTCGTTGGTCCTGGGGGAGTTGCTTCCCGACTCTGAGAACCCGCTCCGGCCGGGAGGTATCCAGAGGGATTTCCTCGACCTCCTCGGCCGGCTCCGCATGTGGCCTCTCCTCGTCCATGGCGACGGCGGCCGTGATGGTGTCTATCCTCTGGCCTTCCCTCTCGGCCGGCCTCGTCAGTTTGAGGTAGCATGCCCTGGCTATCCTCTGGTTTCCTCTGGCGTAGCCGATGCCGTCGTTGGTGGGGAACTTCAGGCACAAGTGCTTCATGGAGATGATGGCCTCCAAGTCCTCCAGCGCTGGCCGGCCCAAGATTAGGTTGTGGGCGTACTGGAGGTTGACCACCATGAACTCCATGTCAATTCTGGCGTGGTGGGGGCCGTCACCGACCTCCACGGGGAGGACTATCGTGCCCTCGGCGTCGATCGATGCCCCGGTGAAGCCGGATAACGGTGTCTTGATCGGCTTCAGCAGGGCTCTGTCCAGCTTCAGGTGCTTGAAGGTGTCCAGGTACATCACGTTGACGGAGCTCCCCGTATCGATGTAAGTACGGTGGATGATGGTGTCACCGATCTCACATCGGATGACGAGGGCGTCCCTGTGTGATTCCGTACCCGGAGGCAGATCCTTGTCGGTGAAGGTGATCGCCTCCGTTCGCTGCTTCTTCGGCTGGGGGGGGGGACGTGGGACACCTCCCCAATGTAAAGAGATTGGGCCCATTTCTTTCTCTGAGTGGCGAAGTCCCCCCCAGTGTTCCCACCTACGATGAGGTGGATGTGATTCTTCTTCGGCGGGGGCTCTTCGAAGTCCTCGTCGTCGCTGAGCCTACCAATCTCCCGCTTCTTCGCAGAGGGTTCGCCCCCATGTTTGCCGGTGTTTACCCAAGTGTTCTTGCGTGGGCCACCTTTGACAAACTGGGAGAGTTCCCCCTGGCGAATAAGGCGCTCGATGGCCTTCTTCAGTGTGATGCAATCGTCGGTGCTGTGCGACGAGTTCTTGTGGAACCGACAGTATGTGCCGCCCTGCTGGATGGCAAGGATCTCCTCGGCCGGCCGAGGAGCCTGCTCGATGAGGCCGTGCTTCTCGGCATAATCGAGGATGGTGCCGACCGGGTGGGTGAGGGTTACCCCCGGCCGTTCCAACCTCGGCCGCCAGTGGCGATCCTTCTTACTCTGTCCACCAGAGCCGTGACGGCCCTGGGCACCCTGGCCGGTCGGGGACGGACCCGGGGCCGGCGAAGGATTTGTCTTCTTGGAGGGATGGCCCCCCTCTCTCTTGTGATTGTGGAGCTCGTCGGCGTCGGCATACAAGCCTCCGCGCTGGAGCGCCTTGGCGTACGACCTCGGGGGGTCGGTGATGAGGCTCTTAGCGTACGGGGAGCTGCGGAGGGCTCCCTGATACAAGGCGAGGAGGGTGCGCTCATCGGCCCCCTCGACCTCCTCGGTTTCCCTCATCCACCGATCAATGAATGACCGGAGGAACTCCTCGCGCTGCTGCTTGACGGAGAGGAGGTGGGTGAAATACTTCTTCGCGCGCTTCCTCCCGGCAAAGTGAGTGAGGAAGCGCTGGGCGAGATCCTGCCATGAGTCGATGCTCCCTTCGGGGAGCGCGTTGAACCACTCGTACGCTGGCCCCTCGAGAGTAGAGAGGAACCAACGGCAGAGGTATTCGTCGGACGCGTTTACCATCAGCATGTTGTTCTGGTAACGGCTGAAGTGTTCCTGGGGGTCTGATCGGCCGTCGTAGGACTTGATGGTGTTCCCCCTGTACTTCTCCGGGATGGGGGCCGAGAGGACCCTGTTGGTGAAAGGGGTCCTGGTCCTGACCTGGATGATGGGGTCACCTCGCCCCTCGGCCAGCTCCCTCTCCAGGGCGCTAACCTTGTTCATGAGCGCGTTGAGGCCGGGGTCGTTGGAGGCGCCGGCCGTAGGGATGTTGGCCGACTGCTTGGCCTCCTTCTGAGCCAGCCTCCTTTCCAGCTGGGCGATGACCTCGTCTCGGGGGTCCCTGGCGGCCGCAGCGGCGCCCGGCTGGTTCCTCATGCGCTCGTTGTGAGCCGCGTTGATCTGGTGTCGCACGTCATCCTCGTGCAACTTTTCCTTGCCCTTGTCCGGACGGGGCTGGTCCGCTGTCCGGGACACAGACCCCAAGCTTTCCCTCGGCGAGCCAGGACGAGGCTCACCAATCCGTCCCGCCATCCTCTTCGAAACCGGACGACGGCGCGTGTCACCTAGCCTATTGAAGGCAGAGGCTTTTCCACGCGCTGGGGTCTGCCCAGGCCGAAGAGGGGAAGCAGGGTGGGAGTGGGACGACGCTGTGTCCTGGGGCACCACCCCCTCATCGTTGCCTATCTGGACGGCCAACGGTTGGGGCTGAGGAGGTTGAGTGACGTTCCCTCCGGTCCTTGGCAAGAGTGCGCTGAGGACGGTGGGGTTCTGAGCTAGGCTGGCGATGATGGCCGACAGCGCGGCCTGGACCTGCGGATCTACGGACGTAGAGGCCGCGGCCATAGGCTGGGCCGGGGCTTGATCCGTCTTCTCAGCTCGCTTCTTGTCCAAGTCGAGGCGCGCATCAGGGGCTCCGCCGTTGAGTTGGTTGCGGAGGTCCGTTGTGAGGTTGAAGGCCTCCTGGAAGAGGTCCCCTCCGCCGGCCTGGTCGGCCGTGGCGTCCTCATCGTGCTCCCTGGGCTCTTGGTCCTCAGGGATGGCTTTGCTGACGAGGTTGCGGTTTGACTTAGTTCTCCCCATGATCAGTGGTTAGCTGTGCTTGGTAGCGACGAAGGGTGCTAACTTGATTGTTCTAGCTCTCAACGAGAGCACCATATGATAGAGTATATCTAGAGAGAAGTGAGAGCTAAAGAGAGAAGTGCAATAATATGCTTCAATAGAATGAATTTGTAACCCCTATAACTACTCCCAAGAGGAGTATTTATAGAGAAAATACGGGTTGGGCTCCCAAGCCTTGGGCTTGGGAGGCCCATTTACAACTGGACCGCTACTGGGCCGAATACAAAGCCACTAATGGGCTGTACGAATGAGTAAGTATAAAATCCGGTTCTGTGAGGTCTTCGTGGCCGACGAGGGCGTGGCCGATGAGGGCACGGCCGACGAGGGCGCGGCCGACGAGGGCACCCGGGTTCCTTGGGCTCAGGACCATAATCCGAGTTGGCCCCTTTTCGGCCGACGGGGGCGTCTTGGCCGACGAGGGCGCCACTCTGTATCTTGTGCTTTCTGTTCTTCCGAGTATGTGGGTCCAGGGGCTCAGGCCCATATACTCCATCAACGGTGGTAAGTGACAAGAACAGTGGGTCAGAGGCGGTTGGATCGGTAGGAGGTGGAAATTAGGTGGAGTTTGACATATTAGGGGAGTCTTGTTGCGCCGAGGTATGAGTAACAGGAGACGCCTTTGCTAGTGATGTGCCTGAAATAGGGAGATAAGAAATAGGTGGCTGAAGCCAATTATCAATTTCAGAGGACAGATTTGTAACACTTGTTAGACCGTTAGAAAAAGGAAAGACAGATTCATTGAACACCACATGCCGACTAATAAAGATCTTATTAGAAGTAGGATCAAGACAGCAATAAGCACTTTGCTGATCACAATAGCCAAGAAAAATACAAGGTCAGAACCGTGGTTCTAACTTATGAGCCATGTAAGGATGAAGTCAAGGAAAACTCTGACATCCGAAAATAGCAAGTCTTGTGGAGTTGGGAGGTTTTTGAAAAAGTTTTTCATAGAGAGTACAAAAACCTAGAAAAGCTGTCGGTTGCCTATTAATTAAATAAACAGCAGTTAAAAAGGCGCATGACCAATATTTGAATGGCATAAAAGCATGGTGAAGTAAAGTAATCCCTATTTCTACAATATGTTTATGTCTTCGTTCAGCAAAGCCGTTATGTTCAGGGGTATATGGAGGAGTAAGTAAGTGAGAAATGCGACAGGAGGCCAGGAATTTCCCTAGAGAAATATATTCACCTCCTCCATCAGAGTAAACCATTTTAATGGATTTTTGAAAAAAGTTTTCTACGATTTTTTTAAATTGTTGAAAAATTGAGGTTACCTCTGATTTGTGGGTGAGGGTGTAAAACCAAATGTAATTTGTGTAGTGGTCAACAAAAATAACATAGTAACGGAAACCATCTACCGAACTAATACGAGAAGGACCCCAAACATCTGTATAAATTAAGTTAAGAGGACCAGAACTACAAAGAGAAGATTTAGCAAAAGGTAACCGATGACTTTTATTACACGCACACGAAGTGCAAAGAGATAAATCCTTACTAACATCTTTAAAGGTAATACCTAGTGAGGAAATAATTTTTTGAGTAATGGGAAGGGCAGGATGTCCTAAACGACAATGCCATTTATTTAGAGAAAATTTTGTAGTAATGTTAAGACTTGGAGACGCAGGAACTGGAATATCAGGCAAGCTGTAGACGTCACCGTTATTCATACCTCGTAACAAAATTGCTCCCGTTTTCCAGTCCTTAACAAGACAAAAAGAAGTGTGAAATTCAATTAGTACATCATTATCAAGATATAATTTAGCAACAGAAATTAAGTAAGTATGAATAGAAGGGACAAAAAAGGTATTTATTAGGTAAAGAAAGAGAATGAAGGGTCATATTTCCAACTTGTGCAATCGCAAGACTTTTACCGTTACCAATAATTAGGGAGTCTGTGCCAGTATAATCGGACGCCAAGGTGAGGTTATTTAAATTATTGGTGACATGATTAGTTGCCCCCGAATCGAGTAACCATCCATTTTTCCGGGTCGTGACAGTATTGGCTTGGGGGTAATTTTGTTGTTCAAACCTGTGCCAACAATTAATAGCCAGATGGTTCGGTTTGCCACATATTTGACATATAATAGCCGAACTTGACCTGGAATTAAGCCCAAAATTGGTACGCACGACCAGGTGATTATTGATGCCCCCGGGATTACTATTCCCACGTTACTGGAATTGTAAAAATTGTTGGGCCGTTGACCTCTATTCTGACTTCTGCCAAAATTTTGAGTCTGAGTATTGGGCCTGTTTGGGCAAATTCTGAACTTGGGTTAATGGACCTGAACCTAAATGGAATTCTCCATAGCTTCAAACTCGGGACGAAGACCTTCGAGGGCTTGAATGGCAAAGTCCTCGTCGTCAACTGGTCGGCCGGCCATGGCAAGTTCATCTGCAAGTGTGCGAAGATGATGAAGGTATTCACTGACAGGTTGCGAGCCTTGTTTCATATGGCAGAACTGATCTTTGAGACTTCGGATTTTGGAGGCTGATTAAGTCCTGTACAGACGTTCCAGGGTCTTCCATACGGAGGCAGAGGTTTTTGAAGATCCAACCAGAGGCTTACAAGCTGAGCTGAGAGATGAAACCAGGGCATGCCGCAGCGGCGCAGCAGACGATCCTGTTTGTTCCACCGGAGAAGGTTGTCTGCTTCATTTTTGGAGGGGGATTGGTGTTTTCATCTTTGTATTGATCCAGGTGAGCACCGAATAGATGGTCCATCACTTGGTCTCTCCACACAAGGTAATTGGATCCATCTAATTTTTCTGGGAACTGACTACGGTTAAGCATGATAAGGCCATGGGGTTAGGGGGTTGTTGGCTGAGAGTGGTGAGTTTGAGTTACCCTGAGATTCTTCTCTGTTTTCTTCTGTAGCCATGGCAGATGCTCCAGAAGGTATATGTGATGAAACTGGCCGGTTAGAACTCTGGAGGCTCTGATACCATATTAGAGTTTAGAGTAGGAAAAGATTGAGACTGAAAAGCTTGATTCATTCCAGAGAATAATATCCTATTTATACAACATTTTAGAGACTAATAAGGTAGGCTACTAATTATAAAATTAAACACAAAGATTTGTAATTGATTTATAATATTAAATACAAATACTTCTAATTTATTGTGTAACTTATGTAACGGTTCTTTGGAGCTGTCTAGACTCTTCTACAGGATGGACGGGGTAATACGTTTCAAGGCAAATACCTAATTTTAAGGATAGATGTGGACATTTCAAAGATAATCTTAGGCATATAAACATAGGAGACTCATAGAAATCCCTCTACATGAAGAGTCTGCAGAGGGGGTTTTGACAGCAGAGGAAGATGCATATGCAGAAGAACTGATACGAAATTCAAACTCTTGAGTACCATAGCATTGCTTACTCGGCAAAAATAAATGTCGCCAAACCTTGGAATAAAATGTAGTGGAAGTGTTGTTGGTTCAATTCTGGAGAGGTGTTGATTTTACACACCACCTAAGAAACCCAAGGTACATTACCTAAAACCTACAAGGTGGTGATTTTAGATTACCATGATAATATGGAAACATGAACGAGACAAGGTATCATATTATCTTTATCTGAATAACTTAAAACTCAAATCAAACAAGATAACATGACATTACCTCACTAACATAATCATGGTAATATGACATTAATCAAACCAAACGCCACTTAGACAGGTGGAGTATGGGTGCCGGACACAGAGAAACGTATGGGACAGCATGGATGCATCCCTTTTCTTCTTCTTTTTCCTAATATGGGGGCACATAAGGAACAAGGCACATAGCTTTATCTAAGAAATCATGTACTCCCTCCGGTCCTAAATAAACTTCACACTTTGACTTCACACAAATTAAGGAAATAAATTTGACTTTACTGTAGAGTACACTGTTGTGACACTGTTTGGCACTGTTTTGATGTAGATAATTTGCCAAATAAGGAAGAGAGAAGAAGTGTGAAGTTTATTTTGGACCTACCCAAAAAGGAAAGTGTGAAGTTTATTTAGGACCGGAGGGAGTACTGTTTTATAACCCTAAAAGATTGGAAAAGGTTTTGAAAGAACCTAGAACTATATTTCCTATTAACATCTTCTCTTCTTCTGAAGACAGAAAATGATTCAGTCTTTAAACATTATACTAACCTTACAAATTACATTACCTTTTTGGGGGTGGACAGAGGGAGTGTGTTTCTATTCATGCACGTGCTGACGTGCATTACTATTATTATATAACTACTATTGCTACAGTGATTAATCTTATTATTATTACTTTACCCGTCTCATACTTTTTTAAATGACGATTCAAATACTTGTGTCCACGCTTCTGCAATGTTTGGTGGGAATCAACTATATAGGCACAAAAGGTGAAAAACCAAATCAACAATAGAACTCCTCACAACGACACAACTTCCAGAGTTCCCACCCCGAACTACCAGGATTGCTTCAGCGCATCAAGTTCAAAGAGATCACATGTTTAAACTTTCACAAAAACCCTTAATAGAGTATATGGGCCCAGACCCCATGTCACACACACTCAAGAAGACACAAGACACCTGGCACCCGGCTGGCCCCCTCGGCCAGACAAGGCGGTCCCCACGCAAAGATGACCCAAGGATTCAAGACCAGCTGACCAGGAAACTGGAGCAAAAGGCTTCTCCTCGGACTGGTGTCCTTTGACCAAGGCCTCCCTCGGCCATAGGCCTTCATCAGTAGTTTATGTTCTTACTTAGTTCTAGAATCATGTAATCAGCCCATTAGCGGCCCAATATTGTGCCGGGCCTCCCAGACCCAAGTCCTCGGATCCCAACCCGCATTTCCTCTATAAATACCCCCTTGGGGATAGTTGTAGGCAGTGGCGGAGCCACCTTATATCCAAAGTGTTTTCTTGAACACTCAAACTTTTTAAAAGTATATAAGAATATATGTGTAAATTCAGACTAATTATTTAATGTTGTTCAAAGTTTTAATTCTAGAAAAAACTTGAACACTCAAAACCAAAATCCTAAATCCGTTATTGGTTGTAGGGGGTTGAGAAATATTAATTACGAACACTTTCTCTCTAGCTCTCACTTCTCTCTAGATCTATACTCTATCAAGTATCAACCCTTTTACTGCAAAAGCCTATAAATCTATAATTGACACTTGGCAGAGTATAGGGTATCTTATCCCCGGCCTTCGACTAAAACTATTTAGCACTCCCTCCATCTCATTTTATGTGTTGTGCTCAAGCCAGGATGAATATATTTACAATAAGCATTTTTGTAATATTTGTAGAAAATATCTGTAAATAGTATCTGTATATTTAGAAATTATACTTTGCATAAATAAATAAATAAATAAATAAATAAATAAATAAATAAATAAATAAATAAAAGTAAAGAAGGCAAGCAAATACTCCGTATATATTAAGCAGGTTTGACGGATGAATCGTAACTATGAAAGATAATTTAGCAGAATGAGAATATAATTGTTTTTCTGTTTCTCTCATTTGCACTACACCACCCTTTTTAACAATTCAAGTTTTCCAAATAAACAACAATATGCATGAATCAAGTGCAAGCTGTGACATTCATACTTACATCATAGCCGCTCCATTTAGCCACTTAAGAGAAGACATAAGCATTTTCATATGTAAGACTTGGGAGACAAACAACTAGACTAGTTATTTCAACTTGCTAGTACACATAAAAACTAAAAAACGATTTTAAAAAATACTGCATTACAAGTCATCTTCACACTCAGAGCCAGAACTTGAGACAGTGAACCAATTTAACAAGCCAGCTGATTTCTTCTGTTTTTCAATTGACTTATGTTTTCTCCTTCATACTAGATTAACTAATGACAATAGCTAATGTCTATTAGACACTGGAGAGAACAGATAAGACGAGAACATTGTCATAGAAAAAACTTGACACGGTGTTTTGAGAAAGAATAACACTTGACAGTGTTTTGACACATGTTGAGTTCTCCTCTAACTCCTTTGCTGACTAATTGGGAAATTTTCTTAGTTCTTCCACATTTTAATACAGGACATCATATGGTCACTAAATAGTCTCTAAACAAGCATTTAGAAACCACTATTATCATCATATCATATTATCATGGCATCTTGCCAATCCTAATATTACTATAACTAAAATTCATGAAGGCATGCAACATTAAATTCTAAAACAAGGAATCACATGCTGCAACCTACATAATCAAAACTACATAACCACTAAATTTGATGTACAAACAACAGGCCTACAACTCTAAAAGAAATTAACATAATGTGATTAATTAATAAAAAAAACCAAGGCATGTATTCATGTATTATCAAGCCCATTTTCCATCCCTGCATATTTGGCTAGTGAACAAAAATAAAGAGGCTGCAAAAGACTTGAGTTTGTGACCCCTCAGTTCATCAGATGCAGGGACGCCAATATGCACCGGGCTTCCCCTTTTTAAAGGACCATTATATACTTTGTGAGTCCACTACACACGGAAGTAGAAAAAGACCTGACGCTAGTAATGCTGCTATAGAGTCTATATGTCCGAGGATCTCATGGCCACCGCTAGTCTAATGACATCAAACTCTAAGAGAGTACCAGTTAAACAAAACACCTCCACTTTCAACACATTTCTTAAACAAACTGTGAAAAGAACACGGATTTAGTGATTTACTAATCTGTAAGGATTGTTAATTTCTTTATCTTTTTTAGATTTCTTATCTTCTTTATCTTTTTATCTTATTTTTATCTTTATCTTATCTTTATCTTTATTTTGTCTTGACCTTATCTTTTTTAACTCTGATTTCATATGTCGATTCATGTTAGCTAACCCCAAACTCTTTTGGGATTAAGGCTTGGAGGATATTGTTAGTGTGGTTGTTGTTGTACTGATCTGCAATGAAACATTGCCCTCTGGCATTTCCAGTTTCTATTTGCTTAGTTCGTTTGTGATAAGTATCAGCTCTACTAGCATATGCACTGAAATATGAAATGCCAATGCAAGACGAGATATTAAATCAAGTATAAAAGAACCACAAATAAAAAGGATGGGATTGGGAAATTACTAGGTCGCCTTCAATCATGTACTTGGAGACTTGATCACGGAGAGATGTGAGCTCTTCTTCGGATAATTCCTTGGTCACCTTGTTCTCCATGCCAATGTCACAGAGAATCTGCTTTGATATGCTTCGCCCAATCCCATGGATGTACCGCAGCGAGAATTCCACTCTCTTGTTGTTGGGTATTTCTACTCCTCCCACACGCACGCACTTTATGCTCAAACCCCCGACCTGTACAAAATATCAATAGTCACTACAAAATGGAGCTCAAGGGAAATGATTAAATAGGAATGAATATAGTGGTTGTGTTTGCCCAAAAAATGAGAGGAACCGCGATGGAATTATTTGACCTTTGGATGAGAAGTGATAATGGGGAAAGATAGAGAGCTTCTGAGGTTCGAACAATGGAGGGTATTGCTGATAATCGAGAGCGATGGGAGTACTGGGATGGCTGATGCCAGCGCCATTGCTGAAGATAATAGAAAGCAAATGGAGGAATGAAGAGATAAATTAAAGGATTCTACCAATTATAAGCTCATAAGACAATTTTAACTTGGAGTGTGAAGTTCTAGTTAAAATTGGCGAATTGTGAGATATTTATATTTAAAATACTTTTATAAAAAAATAAATAAATAGTTATATGGAGTGTGAATAACAAAATTGTTTTTACATAAATTTCAGATAATTCAATCAGAAAAGTAATTTTAAATTTATTTGTTTTTTATTATTAAGCAATTTAGCATGCATAATTAAATGTTCCGTAATTGATTAAAAAAAGTTGTCTCATAAAAACAACAAATTGAAAATGGGATTACCAAACTCGCTCTAATTGTCTCCGGAAACTGTTGGGATATTAGGGTCCAACCCAGTCATTCGGTCCAAAATATCCCTAAAGCCCAAAGAAATATCAAAGCCCAATGAGTATCAGATACAAGGACCGCCCGAACGGCCTTTCCCAATTGATCATGTTCTGTTCGCCTATTCCCGAACGGCTGGAATTTATACTTGGCAATAGGGAACACCTTCCACGTAGGATCAGCTCAAAGGAGCTGATCGAGAAGCCTCACAAGTGGCTGGAAGTGCATTTCATGTTGGAGTATGGGTGCTCAAGTTGAAGTATGGGTGCTCAAATGGCAAAGAGGTCATCCACTCAAGGTTAGCTACGTCATCCATCTCACATACCCATTTCATTTATTCCATTGTAAGAGGTTAGCATTTTGATACTCGCTATCTATATATCACCCTCTAGTGCTTGTATTAACAACTGGTCCGGAATTCCCGTTCAGTCATTTCTTTGTAATGATCAATATTATTCTAATACAGTTGGGTTGTTGAACCATTTTGTCTGTGGGCTATCATTCCTATTTCCTTTTCTTCCAAAACGTATTAGAGATATTCAAAGGGTTGTGTTGGGTCTTTGGATCCAGACAAATTAACCTCAACAGAAACTAAAAAATTCTTGAGAAATGATGATGACACCACAATGTTCTTAATTGAATTGAAATTATCTAACTTGGTTAGGTCTGTTTAAATGTAGTAATATTTGTGTTATACATGAGCACTGCCTTGGATGTATGTTGAGATTGAATATATTTTATACAATATGTAAACATCATCGCTTTACTTCATTTAAACGTTTGTTCGTTATGGATAATAATGTAATTAAAGAGAATATATTAAAAGTGACATTGTAATGTAACACCACACATCAAACATCATATTGTTAGATTTTGGAAGCACCTGCTTATAAACAACATTCATTGTTATGGTGTAGAAATATGTTTCTTTTTAACGTATGAATATCTTATGACTGTTTTGACCATTAGTGTGGTTTATCTCTCAAGGTATAAATCAAATATTATGTGAAACTAATCAATACAGTATTATAACCAAATGAATATAAAAATCACTTGATTTTTTGAAAAGTAAATCTATTTTTTATTTGTTTTTGTTTTTAAATAAAAATAATTGTTATCATTAAAATTAATTTAATACTGTAGGATAAAAAAGAGGTTTTCCTAAAGTATTACTATTTAAAAAGTCATTGATAAAAATGTGACTCGATAACTTTTAGTGATTATAATTATGTTCAAATTATATTTATTAGACAATCAAATTAGCAAATACAAGCTACTTACTAGAAGGGGAAGAAGATTGAACTAAAATGATAATTACCAAAAATATTTAATTTATTGCATAATTCATTAATATATTAAATTAGTTAAAATCCACTTGTAAAGCTACAGTATTAAAATGCAACGGTAAAGCACCACCACTTGCTTTTTATTTTATCATTTTTATATATATTCATCTTTTTTATATTATCTTTTCATAATAGCTTATCTTTTTGTCTTTATTCCTTCTTTTCCTTTTGGTTGTGATATCATGTATCGATTCATGTTAGCCGACCCCAATATCTTTTGGGACTAAGGCTTGGATGTTGTTTGTACTCTGTTAGTATTTCCTGTTTCTTATTATTGTTGTAATGGGTCCAGCCCATATTTGGACCTTTATGATGGGTTTTTATGTCCTATTTTTTGGATCCATTGGATATTGAGCTTTGGGTTTCAAGAGAAGTTTTTGAAGGTTCTTTTGCTTCAAAAATCAGGTTTGGCTGGGTATGGCAAATTGATCCACGCACACACACAAGACAGAAAAACTGGAAATGATTTCCGATTTTCAGACTGCAGTGCACAACTTCAATCATCTCTACGATCGGAGGTGTTCCTGTGGTCGGATTTTACTGATATTTAAACTGCTTATTCGTGAATTCAAAGGCTTCATTTTAAACGGTCAGATTGTTCTGTTGAGCTCTGGTTTGGTCAGAAACTCTGCTCGAAGAGTCCTACAATTTTAGATGATTTCTACACCTTATTGTGCTATTTTGATCTCTTATTGTTCTTGGTGATTGTTGATGGGTTGTGAATCCTTTGTAGACTGATTTTGGGTTCTTTCATCCTCATTTATCAATAAGATAAGTAAGGACAGACTCCTCAAAAGGTCTTGGGGGTTTTTTATCGTTCACGTTGAAGGGTTTTGCACTCAAAAAATCATGTGTGCTTCTTGTGCTTTATTTCTGCTAGTTATTGTGGTGTATATTCTGCAATATTGCTGATTATATTTGAAAATTTGGTTGCTAGAATATTTATGAAACACCGTTCCGAGATATATTTTCTTTGACCAAATTATGTATTGAACCTTGAGAAATGGTTAATGAATTTATGTGGATGAAAATTTCTATTATAATTTTCACGTGAATAGTAAAATGCACATGGGGTCCACATCGGGAGTGGGGATCACCCGATATTCACGACACCACATATTATATTCATCTTGATGTAGAATTGTAGATAATATGTGTATGATGGTATAAATCTATGATGGTACATAGAAATGACATAAGGCAGGTTGATGGATCAAGTGAGTCTCATTTATTAGATTTGGTAAATTGCCGAAAGTATCCCATAATAAATTATGGTGATCACTAAATTAAAGTTGGGAATATATACCATTCTAGAAGCCATAATGATTGGGAGACTGCTGTTTATTTTTATTGGCCCGATAAAGTAAAATTTAAATGAAAGAGTCCGAGAAAATACAACTTTCGAGATCAAGTGTACACTCCGGGACATAAATGGATGACCTTTCACATGAGTGGAGGCCGCTCCATGAATTCATGCACTAAAGACAGTCAAGCGGAGTGATAGGAATGGACGGGGAAGATGTTTGATTGAGATTAATGGTATCAAAAGGGGCATGGTAGGCATCGCTCTCACATTCATTGGGCAAGAGAGACAAAACAGGCCTCCTCACCCCTCACCCCCTATCATTTTTGACCAAACTGTCCCAAGAGAGAGGGAAAAGATCTGCAACATCCATCATATAGCTAGAAAGTAGCTCAAGCTTGCATGTGGTCCAAAGAAGAAGAAAGAGTAGGAAACGAAGAGAAAAATCTAGTAAATCAAGGTCATGATCTCATTAACCTTTTCTCTTCCTTCATGAATCTCATATGGTTTAATAAACCATATGAAGGACCCCTATGATTTTTCCACTACTAGAATGAGGGGTTGGAAGAAGGTTATAAGTTCAAGAACAGACTTAGAAGCCAAAGGTTACCGATTTGTCGGAGAATAACCTTTTTGAGGTTATTTGTATTGATATGGTTTCTGGGATGATATAACCATATTATGGACTTGTCTAAGGTGTTCCTTGCATTCTTACGAAGTTGAGAAGTGGTAAGAGATATCGCCGGAGAGGGTAGAACTACTTAAAGCTCATCTAAGGTGAGTCGACGGCTTAATGTCTTATAACTCTTAGGTTACGTATGAGATTACCTAAAGATATGTTATATGATTTCATGGTGGTGTTTAAAATTGTTTAAGCATGTGATTAGACAATGTAATTGAGCTTATGTGAATCAAGTTTGTATATTATGCATGTAAATGTATTAAATACATATAAAAACATAGATGATGTTTTGAATGATCATAAGGGCATATATTGATTTTTTATGACTTAATACACGATGTGGTTAAGTTTCGTAGCAATCAAAATTGGTGTAGTTAGTCAATGGAGTGTTAATAATACAATGGGACCGGCTCCAATCAGACCCAGAACCGGCGTCAGTTTCGTATCAGTTTTGACTTCTTTTATGAAATAAACGGGAACTGACGCCGGTCAAGAGTAGAATCAGCGGTCGGTCTAAATGTGTACATTGTGCATGGATTTGCATGGAATATTGTGTTTAGATGTCAAGGTTTAGACTAGTCATTAGTGGTAGATCATAGGTTTGGGTGGAGTACTCTAAGGTCGGGTGGTGTCCTTAAACTCATAGGTTTGGGTGGAGTACCATGGGGTCGTGCGGTGTCCTTAAAACTTGGACTTTAGGGGTGGACTACCAAGAGTTGGGCGGTGTCTTAAAACTCGAAAATTGTGTGAAGTACCCTGGGATCAGGCGGTGTCTTTAAGACTTGTTATTTTCGAAAGAGGGACCCGGTGGCTGAGTAAGGCTATCAACACTCGAGAATATAATGAACCCTAGGTTATAGCAGGAGAGCTAAACATCGGATTGGGTATGGGGACAGGAGAAAGTCAAGGACTAAGTCCACCATGGTTTTGTTGACTAGAGCAAATGATCTACGTGTCGGGTATCTTCCAAGTGTATATATACATATATGTATTCGTAGACTTGGGAGAAACTATATGTTTATGTATCACTCTATGTTTGGTTCTTATAATTGAAACGTTAGTTATTCTACATTAAGCTTGCGTCTCGCCAATACGAGTGTACTGACCCCTTCGGGGGGATCACCATTTCCAGGCTGAAGCTAGAGCTTGCTACCTTCACCTTTGCACGGCTGAAGTGATCTCAAGGAAGACGTAGTTCATGCTTCTTTTATTGATTTATAATTATAAACAATGCTCATGAATATTTGTACTTGAAATACTTTGTTTTGGGTTTGCGAGCTCACGTTTGACCGGACGTAGCACATAATTAAACATCCAATATTTCTGCTATTCATGTGATTAAATGTTAATGTTGTTAT